CGCCCAGGCATTTGGCGGCGGCGTCGGGCGCCGGCCAGGCGCCGAGGCCAGCCCCGAGCGGGGGCGGGGGGCCTGCGGGAGGGCGCCGAATAGGCGCGCGATGTCGGGCAGCCGCAAAGGCGAGGGGGGGCGGGCATCGCCCCGGGTGGCCGCTGCCAGGGCAGGGGCGTCACGCTCAGTGCAGGACAATGTGATAGGGCAGCTGTATGAAAGCTACTGGCGGTGGCTGCTGGAAGCTGGCCCGCGCTGGTGGGAAGGGTCATTGCTGGGCCACGAGGGGCCCGCCGGTCGATTCCCTCCTCCATGCGGCGAAGCCAAAGCCCCCCTTCCCTTTGCCTTTCGCGAGCTCAGCGCTATGCCTCCGCTTAATTTCAAGTTCGCGACGCCGCTCAGCATCCCGATCGACTTGTGCGCATTTCCTCGGGCAAAGCCTGCGAACGTCGCAATTGGCCTCGCTGGGGTCATGCGCGAAACCTTGGCAGGATTCCGACTGGCGACGCTGGGGGTCCATGGCGGAGTGGGGCCCGCGCTCCTGGAAGCAGATGCCGTTCCGCCCGATGGCCAATGCGGCGCGCCAGCGCCCAGGGCAATGCCAGCGACTGCCGCCTCCGCGGCGGTGGAACTCCTCCGCGTCCGCCCGCGCCCCTCCGTTGCCTTCCCGGGGGTTGAAGGGCCCTCCCCCCGCGCTGGTCGCAGAGAACGCCGGGCTTGCTCGTGCTCGGCTTGAAACGATCGTCTGTCAAGCCGATTGCTGCGGGGGAAGAGAACGGCCCCGGGCGGCGCGCTCGTTGGGGGGGGGGGGGGGGGGGGGGCGAAGAGGTCCTTCCCGGCCCCCGACGGCCCACTCCCCAAGCGCTGCGGGGTAGTGGCCCGGCGGCCCTCGGGGGGGGGGGCCGCGCTGGGCCCGAGGAGGGCCTGCGAGAATTCGCAGACGGCGCAGCTGCAGGCTTGAAGGCAGGGGAAGTCCGCGGGGGGGGGCGCGTTGGGCCAGGGCCTCCAGGGTGGGCTTCGCGGGGAAGTGGCTGTGGGAGGCACCCCTGCATGGCGCGTCGGCTTGGCCTAGGAGGAATCGGCTTGCGGGGGGGGTCGGGCGCGCGGGAGGCGGGCGGAAGCGTCGCCGGCGCCCCGTGCCCCCGGGGGGCTCCACGTAAGATTTCCCAGGCTGCGCCAAGCGCGCGCGCGTTACTTGCCCGCCCGCTCGCATTCGCGCAAGCGCATCCTCAGAAACGATGATTTGGATCGGAACCGGGCGACAACGGGCATGGGGCGCCTGTCAAGGCTGCTTCTGGGAGCGATTGCTGCTGGCTTGACACGCGCGATATGCATGCAACGACTTTTGGAGGACGGGCGCTGCGCCGTCCAATCCAATGCGGGAATGGCGCGGTCCGGGGAGCGCGGCCGTCGCGGCACACGGCGGTCGACGTGACCGCATGGGGCGCGCGATCGGCCGCGCGGCATTTGCGGGCCATTCGGCCGACGCTGCCGGGTCGCCCTCAAACAGCCCGCCAGGAATGCGCAAATGCGCAATGCGCCAGCGCGCCGCCAGGATATCGCCCTGAAAACAACCTGTTCACTCTGAACGCCGACTGCGCGCCTCGCTGAACCAGCGAAGTCACGCGGCGCGCCCGCGCCGCGGACCCGCCGCCATGAACTCGCGGGAAAAAACCTCTCTCCGCGGGTTCTGGGGCCGATTCTGGCCTACTTCCCCGTTCTGGCCGATTCTGTTTCCATCGCCGATTCCTCCTTTGATTCCGTATTGATTCCGTGCTGATTCTTTTGATTCCGCTAGAATCAGGGGTCACAGTTGCGCCGATCCTGTTTTGATACTGTATTGATTCCGTGCTGATTCCTTTGATTCCCCTGTGCCCCGGGGACCGTCAGGCCGCGGCCCGAGCTCCCGCCTCGGCGGCGCGGTTTTTCCAGGAGCGCGAAAGAGTTCTAAGGGGAAGGGGGGCGGGGGGGGAGGCGGAGCGATTGTTGGGGCGCATCGGGCGGCCGAGCCACAGATTTCCGGGCCCAGTGCGCGCGCCCAACATGGCAGGCGCAGACGCGCGCGCGAGTTCTCGACCGTCGGCGCATCTGTAAGTTCATACCCCGCCCCGCGCGCGGGAATGGAAACTTGCGTTGCGGTTTCCCATTGAACGCGCGGCCGTCGCCCCCCATGCTGCTCAGCGCGCAAAGCGCGCGAGCAGCATGGGGGGCTTTGCGTTCTCGCATGAGAAGTGCGCGGAACCGAACCGAACGGTCGGCGGCGCCCGCTCCTGCGCCGCGCGCGAGGCCATCGCGTCAGCGCAGGAGGCTACAAGGGCCTGGGCCGTCGCCCTGGGGCGCGGGCGCAGCGCGAGGCCCGCGCGGGTCTCGCGCGCCAAACATGCGCAACAAGGTCGGCCCGTCCGCCGGCTGGCGCTCGCGGGCGACGCGACGCCGGCGCCGACTGCGAGGCCGACTGGGCCGGGAGGATTCCTGAGAGCCCCGGGAAGGGGCAGCGGGCCGCGATGGATGCGGCGCGGTCGTTGGCGCCCCCCCCGCGCCCGCCCCCCCCTGCAAGCCGACTCCTCCTAGCTTGGCCCCCCTGCGCGTCAGGGCGGCGATGCGACGCGGTGACCGGCCGAAAACGCGCCTTGATGGAGGCCTCTAGGCGCCCGTGGGCCCCGCGCGGAAGTCTGCGCCCGCGAGGCCGCGGGCTCGGCCAAAGCTGTCCCGCGCAGGAATTCGCGCATGATTGTGAGGAAGACAGATGCCCGGAGTGGCCTCGACGATGTCACCGACGTGGCCGGAGCTGCCGCGGGGCGCCAGGTCGGCCCAGGGCCCCCTGATCAGGAGGGGCATCAGCGCCAGGGTGGCTTTCGCCCTCGCGCGCTGGATGGTGGCCCCGCTACTGTCCTCGAGCAGGCTGCAGGATCCCTCGAGCGGCCGGTCCTGCTGGTCGGCGAGGGCCGCTAGGTGCTGCAAAGACGGGGCGCCCTGATGGCGAGCGCACTCGCGCGTGCTAGTGCTCCGCGCCGCCGAGGGGTGCCTCGTGGCGCCCCCCGGGGGTTTGGTCAGCGCGCCAGCCCCATAGAGAGCTGGATCTTCCTCCCGCCGGGGGAAGGGAGGCGGTCTGCCTCGATGGCTCGTTCGGGGGCAGTGCTCGGGTGGAGCCCTGCTACGCGCAGTAACTAGACCTGCCCGCGCCGCTGTGTAAACATGGCTGGAGGCGTCGTTGCCCAGCTCATTGCCGAACAAATGGCCGTCGTGACTGACCGGCTTCCGGCACTGTTCGCAGAGATCTGTTGGCGAATCCCCCAGGCCGTACATGTGGGGGTGCAGGCTATGTGCGTGTTCAAGACGGGCGTTAGGGCGGCTTCGCCCAGGACCGCCGTGGCCGTTTCCACCAGCTCTTCGCTCAGCCTATCCCAACTGTGCCCCAGAGGGAGCGCGGAGTCATGCAGCGTCTGAAAGCATAGAGTTCGCTGCTCGGCTAGCCGCTGCGCCTTATTATTGTCACTGCGACGCTCCTGCTCGGCTGAAAGCCGCGTTCGCTCGTGCCTCCCGTTCTTGGGCAGGCGAAAAGCTCGTGGCTTCACGTAGCGAAATGCGCCTGCCCAGGACACTCTTGAAGCAGGTCCAGAGTCCAGCGGCTTCTGCCCATTCTGCAAGCAGGTGCAGCTGGTACTCGGTAGCGGCAGCGGCCATCCGCACGTTCACCATGAAGTCTACGCCGTGCTGCGCCCTCGCAAGGGCAACGTTGATGCGATGGGGATCGTCGATGAAGCCTCACTTTCCAGTGGAGTTAGAGCGGGTGGTGCAAAGGATCATCAGACCCGCCTCCTCGCCTTGGCTGCCGTCAATGGTGGACACGCTGATTAGGCCCTTGTCAACCAAGCGAAGTCACCTTGCTTCGATGCCGCTGAAGGGAAGCTGAATGCCATTAACATCCGTGCGGGGAACGCGTTTGAAAACAGTGCCTGTGGGGGGGAGCTGCCTCTTGGGTCACCTTTCCCGGGGCGCCCTTGGGGAGTGGAGGACCTGGACTGCGTTGGGGTACCCTGTCCGGCCGCCTTGCCCTTGCCCTTCCCTTTGCCTTTGCCTACACACAAGCACACACACACACTCACACTCACAGTCACATTCACACACACAAATACACACATACACAGAAACATACACACATTCAAGGATTCCCCGAACATTGTCCTATAGTTTCTGGACTTTCGTCTCTCCCTCTCCACTACCCAACATTTCTCATATTCGATGCCCTCTTTCTCCTCCTCCTACTGCTGCTTCTCCAGCTGCTCTTGTTGCTGCTGAAGGCTGGAGGGCGCGAGGGAGGAAGGAGGATGACGTGGATATATATATATATATATATATATATATATACATGTGTGAGAGAGAGAGAGAGAAAAACAAAAAAAAAGAGACAAATAGAGAAAGAAAGAGGAAACGATAGAAAAGAGATAGAGAGAGAGACAGAGAGAGAGAGAGAGAGAGAAAGCCCGTATGCCTCCCTCGCTTCTCCCTTTGCACAAGGGGGCGGTTGCAAGGCGCTTGAGGGGCAACGATCGGGCGGGGGAATAGGCATAGGGGAAGAACATCGACCTCCTCCTCCTCTTCTCCGATGTTTTTCTTGTAGGAGCGGCTCATGCATCCCACTGTCCTCACGGTTGAAGCTTGAACCCAAGGGCGGAACTTCCCAGACCCCCTCGGGTGACAACAACAATCGCGACACCATAAAGGGGGAGATCACCGACCCGGAATCGGCGACACATCGCCGATAGATCGGCGATAGGCCCCCGATAGCAGAAGCGGGCTTCCTGGGCAGGCTGTGGCTCTCGGGCCCCTCTCGGCGATCCGTGGGCGACTTGGGGGGTCGGTGCATCCCCCGCGCCCATCCCCCCCGTCCCTCCCTCCTCTGGGGGCCGCTCCACAAGCGGCGGTGCAGCGCGACCAGGACCAGAAGAGAGGTGCATCCCCCCTACGCCCATCCCCCCCGTCCCCCTCTTCTGGGGGCCGCTCCACAGGCGGCGGTGCAGCGCGACCAGGACCCAAAGGGAGGCGCGGAAAAGGTGCAGAGGCCCCTGGGCGCCCAGGCCGAGGCCGTCCGGGCGAGAAGGGCCAGCAGCGATGGCGAAGGGAAGGGCCGAAGGGTGCAGGGACGAGGCGCGTGGTGCCCTCGGGCAAGACCGTGCGCGAAATGGAGCGGCAGAGGGCGACTGGTCGCGGGGGCACGGGTGCTGGACCCCGGGGATTTCCTGAAGGACCGCTGCTAGACTAGATGATTAGGGGTTCGAGTAGATGGGGTCGGAGGATCTCGCCGCATCGCCTATGCATCGCCTATGCATCGCCGATGCATCGCCTACGCATCGGCGATGCGCTGGCGATGCATCGGCTACGTCGACGTGAAACAAAGCGGGCTCCACATCGAGCCGCATCGCCCATGCGTCGGCGATGCGGCGCGATGCTCCGACCCCATCTACTCCGACCCCATCATCTAGGAAGCCTACTCATCCTGAACCGTTCCTGGAAGATCCCAGGGCGTGGGGACGGCCCCGCGAGCCGAAGACCGCCCAGAGAGCAACATCACGACCGTGCTCCTCCGCACGCGTGCTCCTGCCCGTCGTGGCGCGGAGAGAGAACCGGGGGCGGCCAGGAGGGGGGCGGCCAAGAGGGGGGGGCGCAAATCATGGCCGGCGGCACGTGCGCGGTCCAGGCCGGGGCCGGGGACGTACTGAAACAAGAGGAGGCGCCATGAAATCTGGGGAGATGTCGCGGCCCCCGCCATGGTATCCACCCCCGCCTGGTCACCACCCCCGTCTTGGCCGCCCCCGAAGGCGGCAGGAAGGGAAAGGGCCTCGAACAGGCCGAGGGCGCCGGTCGGGCTGCCGTCCACTGGGGCGCCGAACCGCCGCGGCGTGCCGAGCCCGCGCGCGGCGCTGGCCGCGGGGCGGCCGAGGGCGCCGCCCTTCGGGCTGCCCTTCGGGCTGCCGGCCGCGGCCGCGTCGCCCTTCGGGCTCGGCGCCGCCGCGTCGAGGCCGGGCGCCGCCCACGCCGCGGGGCTGCCCTCGGCGGAGCCGCCGCGGCCGGCAGCGGCGTCCACCTGCTCTCCGCGCGGAGGAGGGGCGGCCCTCGAGGTGAGAGCGGGCCACTCTGCTGACAAGATTCATGTCCATATCCAGTGCCTTTTGGGCTTTTTCGGAAGCGGCGCCACAGGGCCGAGGCGCACTGGATATGAATGAGAATCGAGCTTCTAGGGGGCGAGTTTATCCATATCAAGTGCGCCTCGGGTTTCTTGGGAAGGGAGCCCGAAACTCCATACTGCACTGGATATAGACAGAAGTATTGCCCGCACACTGAACCCAGGGCGCACGTCTCCCCCACGGGCGGGCTCGCCCTGCCCCCCCCCGCGCTGCGGTTTGGCCGGTCCCCGGGTGCCAGAAGACGGGGGGCAAGACTGGGGGGAGACGGCGGGCAACGGAGGAGGAGGCGGAGGAGGAGGAGCAGCCCGAGGAGGCGGATGATGATGCTGATGCTGATGCTGATGCTGATGCTGCTGATGCTGATAATACTACTAATAAGAATACTAATACTAATAATAATACAAATGCGAATAATAATAGTAGTAATGATAATAACAATAATCATAGTGCTAATAATAAAAAAGCATCATGGTGGTGATGCTGCTGCTGATGATGATGATGATGATGATGATGATGATGATGATGCTGGTAACGATGATGATGATGATGAAGAGGAGGAGGAGGAGGCGGAGGAGGAGAACAAGAGGAGGAGGAGGAGGAGGAGGAGGAGGAAGAGGAGAAGGAGGAGGAGGAGGAGGAGAAGAAGGAGGCAAAGGAGGAGGAAGAGGAGGAGGAGGAGGAGGAGGAGAAGGAGGAGGAAAAGGAGGAGGAGGAGGAGAGACCGTAGCCATTTAGGCTCAAGCTGTTTTTCCCGCTTTCCGCCATATCCATTTCCGGACGATGGCGGAGCATGCAGGAAGAGATGGCTCCGGGAAGGCTTGCCAGGCAGGCGATCCTCGGAGTAGCCGAGTTCAGCGCTCGGCGGCGCGGCGGCGGGCTCTGGAGTCAGGGGACGCGGGCCTCGCAGCGGCGAGGCACGAGGTGGATGCCCTCACGGAGCGACTTGCCAGCGCCCTGGAGACTGTTCGCGAGCTCGAGCAGGCGCTGGAGCCCGAGTCCGAGCTGGGTCGCAGGATTATGCTCATCATTCCTGTCTTGGCTGCGAAGCTGCAGGGCAGGCCCATCCCTGGTTCAGTCAAGGCCAAGCGCAACGCGGCCGAGCACGTGTTCGACACTCCAACGGACGTCATCGCCCTAGCTAGCAGCACGGAACTCATCAGGCTGCAGCGGGGCGGCGGCAGCGGGACGGGCGAGTGTGGCCGTCGCGGAGCTGGTGTTCCTCAGACCGATGCACCTCCTTTCGTTCCTGGGGCTGGACGGCGGGAGCCGCTCCCACCTATCATCGTGTGCACGTGCGGGGGTCCTGTCTTCTCGTCACTCGAGCTGCCTGGCCCATGTTTCATGCTAACCAGGCGGCCTGGCTCGACCGCCGTTCCCGAGGGGAGGTTTGAGGGCTCGTCGGGTGGGGGCGAATTTCGGGCGGCACACCCCTGACGCGTTACGTGGCCCCATAGGGAGCTTTACCAAAGGCCACAGTGCCACCGCCCGCATGCGTCATCCACACCTATTCCGTCACACCCCTCACACGTTTCGTGGCCCCATAGGGAGCTCCACCGAAGGCCCCAGTGTCACCACCCGCATGCGTCACGCACGCCCATTCTGGCACACCCATCACGCGTTTCGTGGCCCCATTGGGAGGTTTACCGAAGGCCACAGTGCCACCGCCCGCATGCGTCACCCACACCTATTTCGTCACACCCCTCACACGTTTCGTGGCCCCATAGGGAGCTCCACCGAAGGGCCCCAATGCCACCGCCCGTATGCGTCACCCACACCCTTTTCGTCACACCCATCACACGTTTCGTGGCCCCATAGATAGGGAGCTCCACCGAAGGGTCCCAATGCCACCGCCCGTATGCGTCACCCACACCCATTCCGGCACACCCCTCACACGTTTCGTGGCCCCATAGATAGGGAGCTCCACCGAAGGGCCCCAATGCCACCGCCCGTATGCGTCACCCACACCCATTCCGGCACACCCGTCACACTTTTCGTGGCCCCATAGGGAGGGAGCTCCACCGAAGGCCCCAGTGCCACCGCCCGCATGCGTCACCCACGCACGTTTCGGCACACCCCTCACACGTTTCGTGGCCCCATAAGGCCACCGAAGGCCCCAGTGGCTGCGTTCGCATGCGCCCACCGCACCCATGTCGGCACGGCCCCAATGGCTGCGTTCGCATGCGCCCACCGCACCTATTTCGGCACACCTCTCACGCGTTTCGTGGCCCCATGGGAAATTCCACCGACGGCCCAAGGGGCTGCTTGCGCATGCGCCCACTGGACACATGTTGGCATACTCCTCACAAGTTTCGTGGCCCTCTAAGGAGCTCCTCCGAATGCGGTGCATACAACGACGGTGCTCACAACTGCATATGATTGGGTCCTTCGCCAGGCTAATTTAAAACATGTGCGCCGCGCTGGGGCGACGGCCACATTTTGAAAACGACCCGCCCTCCATGTGTGAAGCTGTTGCCAAATTTTAAACTTCAGAGTCATCATGGTGAGGAAGTCTCAGGCGAAACGCCCGGCCCGCCCTAAACACTGGCCTCGGGGTGCAACAGAGAGAAGTTATTTAGAAGGAAAAGGGAATGGAGGAGGAGGATGAGGAGGGGGAGGAGGAGGAGGGAGGGGGAGGGAAAAGGAGGAGGACGAAAGGGAGGAGGAGAAGGAGTCCGGAGCAATGTTTGGCTCAAGGTTGAGCAGGGACCGACCGTCCTTTCATTCCTATAGTCCTACCACGAAATGTTCTTAAACCCAAAAATCTTACATAACTAACAAAGGCAATGTTCTTATACAATGAACCCGATGTGATAAAACAAGTCAGACTCCGCCAGAAATGTTATAAGAACATTTCGTGGAAACCACAAACGGTTCTTAGAACATTGTTTGGTAAGGTTATAGGCGAGCCAGGACGCCTTCGCCACTGCTTGACAAGGGGACCAGCACAGCGAAGGGGCTGGCTCAGGGGATTCCCGCACCTCGTCGGCAAGGGTGTAAGACCATAGTGTGATCTTATGTTCCATCACTTCCCATACGCGCGTAATGGAGCTAAACATGATCGTGCTCTTTCTTTAGGTATATGTGTCCTTTCTATCTATTCGGTTGTTCTCTCTCTCTCTCTCTCTCTCCCTCTCAATTATGTATACACACATATATACATAAACAAATTATCAGATCACGCGCATGTTCTGACACCGCGTGAAGGCCTGGCGCAAGCAACTCGGAGGCCTGGCGCAAGCAACTCGAACATGTCGAAATATGCAGATCCTTGACAACACCACATAACGCAGGCCAGCCCTCAGAAAATTGCCGATCATGTCAAGGCAGCCGCCCGCAGCCGGCAATCCCGCCTGCACGTGCGCCAACACCGCAAAACTCAACGCCAGAGCGCCGGAATTCATCCCATCCACCAAGGCTGTCGGCTACACCCGCCTCTTCGAGCACAGCGGTCTCCACAGAAGAAGAACAGAAACGCCGGCCACAAACACACATTTTGGCTTTCCGCGTGGTTTTTCCCTACATAGGCTCTGCCTAGAAGGGTTCTTACTCTCTTAGCTTAAAGGGCCGGGCAGTGCTAACCGCCCTGGGCGGTTCCCCCAGTCCCCGCCCCGCGGTTCCCCCAGTCCCCTGAGAGCTTTAGCTTTAGCTTTAGCTTTAGCTTAGCTGTAGCTTAGCTTCAGCTTAGCTTTAGCTTAGCTTCAGCTTAGCTTCAGCTTAGCTTCAGCTTAGCTTTAGCTTAGCTTTAGCTTAGCTTTAGCTTGGCTTTAGCTTAGCTTTACCTTAGCGTTAGCTTAGCTTTAGCTTAGCTTTAGATTTAGCTTTAGCTTAGCTTTAGCTTAGCTTCAGCTTAGCTTTAGCTTAGCTTCAGCTTAGCTTCAGCTTAGCTTAGCTTTAGCTTAGCTGTACCTTAGCTGTACCTTAGATTTAGCTTAGCTTTAGCTTGGCTTTAGCTGAGCTGCACCTTAGCTTTAGCTTAGCTTTAGCTTAGTTTTAGCTTAGCTGTAGCTTAGCCTTTACCGTAGCTTTAGCTTAGCTTTAGCTTAGCCTTTACCGTAGCTTTAGCTTAGCTTTAGCTTAGCTTTAGCTTATCTGCACCTTAGCTTTAGCTCAGGTTTGGCTTAGCGGTAGCTTAGCCTTAGCTTAGCCTTAGCTTAGCGTTAGCTTAGCTTTAGCTTAGCTTCATCTTAGCTTTAGTTGACCTTGAGCTTAGCTTAGCTTAGCTTTAGCTTAGCTTTAGCTTAGTTTTAGCTTAGCTTTAGTTTAGTTTTAACTTAGCTTTAGCTTAGCTTTAGCTTTGCTGTTCGTACTAATGCTGCTTTCCTAGGGGCTCCAACTCCTATGTAGGGTCGCACTGGGATAATCTTGGATCTTAGCTGGACCCCCCTCCATCCCTGGCGCCGGAGGCGCCGCAGGGGGGCTCAGCGCGGATCCTAGAAATACGCGCGGAGCGCCAGAAGATTATGTTCACGGAGAGTCTTCCTCTTCGATCCCAGGGCCCCAGCGGCCCAGGAGAACAGGGGCCCCCGACGGGGCGGGGTGGCCGACGCCCCTGCCAGGAGGAGCGCAGAATCGAGCCCACAATCGAATCGATAAATCGGATCGGCGATCGAAGTGAATCGGATGGGCGGAACTCGGCAGCAGAGTCGGGAAACATCGAATCGGCGGAAATCGGCAGAGTGGTAGGCCTCCAGTAAGGTAGCGGAGCCCGAACCGGGATCCCAAGCCGAACCGAATCGACATCGGAAACCGTCGAAATCGAATCGAATCGAAGCGGAGGCATCGAATCGGAGGCATCGGGGGGGGGGGCCTGAAGGGGCCCTGGGAGACGCAAATAAATACACACAAATAAAAGGACTCCCCATAGTTTCCCATATTCTCTGGGCTTCTGTTTTCCCCCCCAATCCCCATATCTTCCCATGTTTTCCTGGGAATGGACGCTACAATTGTGTCTGTGTGTCGTTTCCCCTCCCAGGGGCCGACGCCCCCCGTGGGAGCCCGCTCCCGCGCCGACCTCTGCGCCCCCCCGGGGGCAGAGGGCGCCCCCGCCAACGCCGTGCCACGAGGCCTCGAGGCGGCCCTGCCACAGGGGCCTCCTCCGGGGGGCCTCCCCCGGGGACGCACGGCGACATAGCAATGCTGCAGGGCAGGTTTCAATACATGGGTTTTTTAAAAGATAGGATTTTTCGTACATGGTTAATGCATGAATGAATTTATGCACGAACTCATCGTTGTTTGTAGTACTGAATCCTTGCATTTTTCATACATGATCCGCACGCGGGGCATGTATTAAAAACGGCACTGTAGATGTCCTCCTTGGAGGCGCGCGTCCGACCCAACCCCACGATCCTTCTCCCCCCAATCCATTTTTCCCTCCCGTTCTTGCGTTGCAGGTGGTGGCGGAGATGGAGTTTTACCATGCCCCCTGGTTGGAGCAACTGATGGAGGTGGAGTTGTACCGTTCCCTTTCGTTGGGGCCGCTGGCGGAGATGGAAGGTCCATACAAATACTATATGTCCTCCTTGGAGGGACATATCACCTATACATCTTGTAGTACATCGTTTCCCGAACGGCGTGGCCAGAGAGCGCCCGCCACGACGCATATACTGCAAGATTTCTCGGTGCGCGCGTCGCCCCTGGGGTCGTGACAAATAATCACGGCGGGAGGCGTTTCGTCATTTTCGGCCTCGGGGGGCCCCTAATTACCGGGCCTCGGGACCGTCAAAAAACGACGCTGGATGAAAAACCGCTCCCTGGCAAGGGGTCGAGACCTCTGGGGGTCGACGCTGCGAGAAAGTCATGACGTCGGGGGTCTGGGTCCCCGACCATGCAACCCACTGATTCGCTCAATGCGGCGCCCCCGAAGTCCCGACCCTCTCCCCAGGATTGTTTTTTCATCCTGAGTCGTGTTCTGAAGGTCAAGGGGCCCGGCGAGGAGAGACACTCAGGGGCCGAAGATAGCGAGAATCCACACGCCCTCATGTTTCACGAAGCGATCATGTCTGGGCCTCTGCTGGGCATCCTGTGATGAAACCAGGACGATAACATCGGATGAGGATGAATTCGGGGATGGACAGAAACTCCTTTCGTAAAACGTGGTTTAGTGAAAACGACCTCGGGCCCAAACCTGGCGGGCGCGAGCCTGGAAAATGACGGCCGCGGTGCCCTCTCGAGAACCGCAAACGGACAATTCACTAATCGACGTGTCAGGGTGGGGGTTCTGTCCACCCGCGATAAATCGAGAATCGCTGAGATCCAACGGCTCTGGAGGATGGGTGCCTCAGAGCATTCCGGCAAGCTCCGAGAGCGTTCCGGAACGCACTAGGACGGAGATTTATCCTCGTCCTGGCCCCGTCCGGGCACCCCCCCGCCCAGACGCCCGACGTAATTCCCAACCATCCTGTGGTGTTGGGTCCTCGTTTTGAGAAGACAGTGCCCCGCGTTCCTCTCCTTCCTTCCTCCTCCCCCTCCCCCCTCTCCTTCCTCCTCCGATCCTTGCCTCTGCCCTCCGAACCAGTCAACCATTCTGGCACACCCCTCACAACCGAATGCGGTGCATACAACGACGGTGCCCAAAACTGCAGTTTGGTTGGGTTTGGTGCCAGGCTAATGATTTTGTCAGAACGTCGACCCCCAGTGGTCTGGACCCCTTCCCCTGGACCGGTGTTCCATCCTGCGCCGTTTCTTGACGGCCCCGAGGCCTGGCAGAGGCCCCCCCAGGAGGCCGAGGAAGCAAGGAAACGCCTCCCGCCGGGAACATTTTTTGTGACCCGAGGGGGTCTGGGTGCGCGTGCGCTGCCGCCGCGCCCGGGCGACGCGAACCCGCCGAGCGCCCGCTTTGGACACCCGAAATGGGTACCGAAAGAATGGGTACAATGCCCAACAACAAATGTTGTCCCAAACCAACAGCGGCCGCTGTTGGGCAGGCGGCCTTCTGTCTCAAATCGACACAGGCCGCGGCGGCGCAGACAGCGAGTCCTGTTCAAAATGAACACGAACTGTTGTTGGGCATTGTACCCATTCTTTCCGTACCCATTTCGGGCGTCCAGACCCGCGGCCTTGTCCAGGAGCAGCCGTGCGGCCGGACGCCGGCCGCGCCCCCGCGCGGGCGAGGGAAGGCCGCCGAGCAGGCCAGGGGCGCACGCCAGGTTCTCCTGCACGGCCGGCGGAGTTCGGAGGACAAGTAGGGTCCCTTCCTCCCGCCCCCTCCTCCTCCTCCTCCTCGTTTCGTTTGCGAGCAGCTTGGAACGTGCGCGTGAAGAGACACATGCATGCAAGGTGGGGGTACAAGGAAAAAGACAGTACATGGGCGGACCCTCCTTAAGAGGACGTCAGCGTTGAAGCAGACGAACATAGGTTTTTAGATGCAGAAGTCGGCGAAACATCGTCATCATAATTTGTTCTAACCATTCATGAAGATTCCTCCTGTCATGCCCGACTTAACGTTAGGAGGCGACTGCTGGGAGGTCTTCGCTGGAAGGACTACAGGCAGGATTGAGCCCCGTTGGGGGGCTGCTACGCCGGATGAGGCCGCGGATTGAGCGGGGATGTGCTGCTGCTGGCTTAAGCGGCATTGAACGGATTGAAGGGGATTGGGCCATGTTGAGCGGCATTCAGCCGGAGGAGGAGGAGGAAGAGGCGGGATTTCAGACCCGAGCAAAATCCGAATTGGACCTCCTAGGAGCTGCATCGCCCGGACGTCAGCCCCCCTGTGCATTGCTCGGCCTCGTGCGCTCGCTTTTTCGCACGAGGATCCAAGATGCTCCTCGATGGTCTTCGCCGAGTGTCCAACACAAGGCTGGACCTAAACGTTGTTCCCCACCGGACAGGGTGGGGTCGCTAGATTTTAAGAACAGACCTCCCGGCCTCTCCCAGCCGCCAGACCCCAAATCGTCCCGAGTGTCCCGGTTATCGCGCCTCGCGCCCTCGACAAACACGACAGAACACACCCTGCATACCGCGGCCGCCAGACCCCTAAATTGTCCCGAGTGTCCCGGTTATCTCGCCTCGCGCCCTCGACAAAAACGACAGAACACACCCTGCATACCACGGCCGCCAGACCCCAAGTTGACCCGAGAATCTCGGGTATCCCGCCTCGCGCCTTCAACAAACACGACAAAACGCAATATGGCACAACAGAACATGACAGAACAGAGGAATAGCATGACAGAACATGGCGGAACATAATATGTCAACATCATGACAACATAGGGGACACCAGCATATCATATAACATACCAGAGCAGAACATACAATCACAGGAAACTGTATATCACAACCTAACATAACATAACCGAGCGTAACATAAGACACGTAGACATCACATAAGACTTCATGACACATAATCAACAGGCATGTCATACGACGGCAGCAAAGCATAGGGGCGAACACGCCAGAACACAACATGTCATACCGTAAGGTAACATAGCTTAGCACAAGCATGACATAACATGACAGAGCGTAGCATAGCAATATCATGACACACACAACTATGATATACCATCACATAACACATCACATCAGAGCATGGTAGAACAGAAAACGGCATAACCCAACAGCACATAGCATAACGGAAGAACACACAAGGCACCTTGGCAGAACATCCCATATCATTGCACTTCATCACGTAGGATGCACCCGACATCGCGTTGAAGTACGTTGGTAGGTGCAATAGTGTTACTCCGCCAAGAGCTGACACAACCCACAAGTGCAACTCACGGTCAACGCAAACGAGCCAGAAGCTGAAGCAACCGAAGACGACATCACACACCACAACATAAGATAGCCGAGCATAGCATAGCACACTATGGCAGGACACATCCTATCAGGACACAACATCACATAACATGTCATGACACGGCACCAAAACATTGCGAAACATAATAACAAAACAAATCATAACACAATGTACTGAACCGAACCGGCACCAGCATCACGGAACAGAGCATACTATTACATACTATGTCGGCATATCATTCAATAACATCATGCCGCAACGCAGATCACGCCGTAGCATCTCCAACCATATAGCGACAGATCTGAGCATAAAACAATATATTCAACCAGAAGAGAAACATATAGGTGAAGAGGGGCGTCAACCAACGACGCATCTAACGTCACAGGCGTCACGACGTAACGCCAGCCTGTCGACAACATAAGAGGACATAATAGAGCATACAATGCAAGATCGTTACTGTATGGAACACGGTTGAACCGTTTTTGAATACAGAAACGGCAGTAGTGCAATGGAGGAGAGGTGTACCGCGACAGAACAGGACATGACAAAACATGCTATAATATCATACCTTACTTTACTATATCGAACCGAGCTGGCAACTATCACATAACATGCCATATTATACCATAAGCTGAGACAGCATGTCATGCCCTAACATGGTGCCAAAAGGCAGTGTATAACAGAACGTACCGCATCATACTGAGCCAGAAACGTGCATGACATAACATGCTTTCACGAATGAGAGAACGGAAGGGCGAAGGGAGATCGTAACATAGTACACAGCACCGCAGACACGCACACGCACACGCACACGCACACACACACACACACACGCACGCACGCACCCACCCACCCACCCACACACACACGCACACACACACACACACACACACGCACACCAACACACACACACACACGTACACACACACACACACACAAACAACGCGTGGGCGGGACCCTCTGTCCACACCCAGGGACCCCCGCAGCCCCACGCGCAAAGCACGGCGGGGCCCCATGACACACCCACGCGCAACCCATTGGCGGGACCCTATGCCCGCACCCGAAAACTCTACCCTACGCTCAACGCACGGGTGTGACCGTATGGCCGCAATCATCACAACTCCGCGCGCAACACATTGGCGGGAAGCCATGGCCACACCCGAGAAACCTGGCACTCCCGCGAGCAACGTATGGTCGGGCCACCCCAGCCGAGCAAACTTCCGCGCAGCAGTACGCCTAGTTCTCGTAGGTCGAACAAGACTCCCTGTGCGCGAGCACGGCCTGGAGAAACCGAACACACGTCCTTGTGACTGCGCACATGATAAGGGGCAGTGAATACATGCATGACCGAACGACGCGAGGCAAAGTGGGCTGGCTCCCCAACCCCGCTGGCTCCTGCAGGCAGGCGGGCACCTGCGCCAGCGGCAGGCCCGGCTTCAGCGGCAGACTCAGCGCGCCTCCTCCTCCTGCGCTGGGGAGCCAAAACCCTGCCTCTCCTCTGCCGTCATCACCGTGGCCCCCTGCCACTGCCTCACCAAGTTCCGCTGAGACAGTCCTTGTCGATCGGGGCCGTCACTGTCATGAGGAGGAGGAGGAGGAAGAAGAAGAGGACGAGGACGAGGAGGAGGATGAGGAGGAGGAGGATCATCCTCGACGTTGTGCCCTGCTGGTGGCCATCGTGGCGCGCTGGGTTGCTTCAAGAGGCGCAGGAGGTGCGAGCGTGGCTGTTGGCTTGTGCGACGTGGTTGCCCCAATTCCCGCATGTTCTGTCGCACGCGCTCTTCCACGGGGCGCGTTCGATTATCATCAACATCGCCATCACCGCAGCTCTTAATAGCTCAAGCGAGCGGTTATGCAGGCAGGCGCACGAGGTGGCGTTTCACGCCATAAACATAAACTTTTGGAACTCCGCGCGAATAATTTGGATCTGCGCTGGGCCGCGCTAGGGGCAGCGCCGGAGGCGCCGCCGCGGGGGGCCCAACGCGGATCCAAGAAATCCGCGCAGAGCGCCAACAGTTTATGTTTATGGCGCTTTTTCTTCGAATGCATTTCAATAATTGGATCTGCGCTGGGCCGCGCCAGGGGCGGCGCCGGAGGCGCCGCCGCGGGGGGCCCAACGCCGATCCAAGAAATCCGCGCGGAGCGCCAAAAGTTTATGTTTATGGCGATTTGTCTTCGAATGCATGAGGGTTTCTTCGAAATGCGTCGCCAACACAGATCATCGAGGCTCAAGCGAGCGGCTGCACAGGCAGTTGCACGAGGTGGGGCTTCGTGGTGGTGACTTCGTGTGATGCATGAGGGCTTTCCTAGCAGCGAAAGAAGGAGGAGGAGGAGGAGGAAGGAGAGGAGGAGGAGGAAGGAAGAGGAGGGTGAGGAATTAGGAGGAGGAGGAGAGGAGAGGAGGAATAGGAGGAGAGGAGAGGAGGAGGAGCAGGAGGAGGACGACGAGGAGGTAAGAAGGAATGGTTAGGAGGCGAGGGGAGGAAAGTAGGAGGAGGGTAGGCGGAAAGGAGGAGGAAAGGGAGGAGGAGAGGACGAGGCCGAGGAGGGAGGAGAGGACGAGAGAGGAGGGATGAGGAAGGAGGGATGAGCGAGAGGAGTGCGGAGTAGAGGAGTAAGGGCTGGAAAGGATGAGGAAAGGAGGAGGGTGAGTAAAGAGTAAGGAGGAGGATGAAATTGTGCCGAGAGGAGAAGGAGGAGGAGTGAGAGGCGGAGAACAAAGAGGTACAGGCCTGCGCGCTCGAAGGCGGCGTGCCGCACTTCTGCGAGGCGCTCCTGCGGGCCCGTCCGCGGGCTTCCTAGGGCAGCGCGCCGGACCTGCCGCGGCGCAGACCGCTCCCGCGGGCCACGTCGAGGCCTCCAAGGGCTCTGAGGCGGCCCAAGAGACCCCCAGGATGGCCCCACAGTAAGGGAGACGTGAGACTCGGGTACGGGGGACTCGGGCTGGCCTGATGGGGCGGGCCCTCATAGAGGACGAAGCCCAATCGGAAATTTGACGCGAACTCCCGCCGCAAGCATCCCACGAAAACTGGACCGTCAGAATCCAGGACGCGCTCGTCAAAAAGCGTCGGCAAGCCCGAGTTCCGGCTTGCTCGAGTCTTAAGTTTCCCCCGCATAGGCGCCCGAGGGGGCCCAAGAGGGCCCCATGAAGGCCCCTCCCAAACTTCCCAAGAAGAGGTGCTCGAACTGACGCTTCTAGCAGAGGCCGCGAAGCTCTAGTGGAGACCGCTGCGCCTGAGTGTGGCCAATTATTATTGTGCCGTGCACGACGAGGCGAACACTCGGATGCAAGGTTCTCTCTCGGCAGCTCGCAGAGGGTGGCGCAGAGCATCATCGAGGACACGTAAGACTCGGGTACGGGGGACTCGGGTTGGCCTGACGGGGCCACTCAATAAAATCAAATTAAACGCCAAAAAGAGTACCAAAATCATAAAAAAAAAGCAGGAAGATAATGCTAAGCAAAAAAAAACAAAAAAGTAAAATACAGAACTCACCAAGCCACCATACACACCCACAACATCACCAAGAACACCCTCACTCCCCCACCCCCGCCCCCGTGGGCCCACCCGTCCCCACCCCCCCCCCCCCACGACCGCCCCCCCACCCCACCCCCCCCCCCTCCCCCCCCACCCCCAACGCCCACCCCCGCCCGCCCGCACACCACACCCCACCCCCACCTCCCCCCCCCCCGGGCAACCCGCTTCGCCCAGCCAACGACGCCGCCCCAACGTCCCGACAGCCGCGCCCATCCCGCTGCCAAGCATCCCACGCACACCGGACCGTCAGAATCCCCCCAACAGCACAAAAACCAAAAAGACACGCTCGTCAAAACACGTCGGGGATCTTCTGACCCGGGTCAATCCAGACCCAGGTCAGCAGGAAACCAAAAGCTGCAATGCAGGAACAAAAAAACTGCAACGCAGGTCTTCGCAAACCCGGGTCAGCCAATATGCGCGGCCGCCTCGCGGCCACGAGCGGCTCGCTAACCTGGGTCAGCCAGAGGGGGTCTTCGCAGGATCCTGCAGGATCTGGCGCCCTGGCTGACCCCCGTTTGCATTGACCCCCGTCTCAAGGCCCCCGAACACGTCGGCGAACCCGAGCTCCGGGCTTGCTCGAGTCTGACGTCTCCCCGACAGCAGAGAGCACGAGCTCGTCTGTGTGGGCGCCACCGCCACCGTCCGCGAGCGCCCTGGGCGGGCGCGGCGTGGCTCGGGAGGGCGGACGCAAGAGCAGCCGAGGGCAGAGAATCCCCCCCCAGAGGAATCGACCCGACAAGCGAAGCCGTTTCACGCGCACACGGAAGTTTAGTAAACGCACGCACGGAAGTTTCGTAAACGCCCAGGGCCGTATAGCAAACGTCAATTGGTCGGGCCTGGGTGGTTCTTCCTCCCCTGAAGCAGGCGGCGGCGGCGCTCGTCGAAGAGCTGTGGCGGCGCCCGTGGGCTCGGGCGGCCGGCGCGCGGACGCCAGCTCCGACGCCGCACTGCGGCTGGGACCCGCTGGTGCGAGGCCGAGCCAGCGCGGCTCGAAGGACGACGCCGCGGAGGACAAGGAAGGACGTCGCCGGCGAGGGCGTGGGAACTGCAGTGGAGGCCAATCCACGAGAAACCTTCCACAGGAACACCAATCCGGAGCCCCCAGGGCGCCCGCTGATCTTTGGCATGGGAGCGTCGCGCTCTCCACAGCAACACCAACGAAACCCAAGAAGCCCAGGACACCCTGGAGGCAAGCGGGGTGCTTCTTGGCACGGGCCTCCCCTGTGCTACAAGAGAAAGAAAACGCCCCAGACATAAACTTGTGGCGCCAGAGGCGCCTCTGGGGGTCCAACGCGGATCCCAGATCCTCGCGGAGTGTCACAGGTGCATGTTCATGGCGGTTTTTCTTCTCCGATGCCTGGATGGTGGCGTCTGCGGCAACGGGCTCGCCCGGCTGACCAGATGGGGCGCACACTCCAACGCTCACATAGGGACCCCCTGGATGGGGTTGGAGTAGACGGGGCCGGAGACTCGCGCCGCATCGCCGATACATCGGCGATGCATCGGCGATGCATCGGCGATGCGGCACCGATGCATCGTCGACGTCGGCGGTGCATCGGCGACGTCGGCATGAAGCAGATCGGGCTCCGCATCGAGACGCATCAGCGATCCATCGGCGATGCGGAACGATCCTTGGACCCCAGATACTCGGACCCCATCTATAGAGGAACAACAAAACACATAGCCATAAACTTTTGGAGGTTCGCGCGGATTTCTTGGATCTGCGCCGGACCCCCTCCCTGGCGCGCGGATTGCGCCAGGGCCGAGTTGTTATGTTTGTATCATTCTTCGTTCCCCTAACATAAGCACCAAAACGAGCGTCTCTTGACACATTTCCTATTTCCTCCCCCACTGACTGCACCCCAGTGAGTCGAGGAATCAACATGGGCATACATAATCGACAGCTTACGGAAATCTGCGCGGAGTCCGTTGTGATTAGCGGCCTGGACCCTGATCCAGGAAAGCCACGGGTACCACATACATTTTACATGTTCATCCCGATATCTTTATCCACCGTCCCCCGAGTGAAGCACTCCTGGACTGAGGGGCCAAGATAGGGGGGGAATAGGCACAGGGGGGGAAAGGGGAAACATCGACCTGTAATCGGCGATACATCGCCGATAGATCAGCGATGGGCCCCCAGTTCCGAATTCGCACGCTCCTGGGCAGCTTTGGGCCGTCGGGGGTCGATGCGTCCCCCCTTGTCTGCCTATGCCCCCCGCTCGTTGGCCCTGCTGGGCCCCCCCGGTGGCGGAGCTCCCCCAGCCGGGTGCGCGCCGAGGGGCTGCGGCGACGGTGCAGCCATGCCCGCGGGCTCCGCGGCGGTGGCCGCCAGCCACTGGCGCCGCGGGAACGGCCCGGGGCACGGGCTCTCCGGGCCGAAACGGCTCGCCCTCTCTCCTAGAAGACGCGCGTCTGGCCAAGTCCGCCGTCTTGTTCCTCCCGTGTCAGCGTTTTCTCAGTCGGCGTTTCGACATTGGGCGGAAGGGAGGGCGGGAGGGGGGGGGGGGTCTGGCTCCGGACACCTCTGCTTCATGCGACTGTTGGCAGCAGTGCGTCCTGTGGGGGAGACCCCACCTGCTCGAAACAGGCGCCCAAAAAACAGCCAAGACCCACTCCATCGGGGGGGGGGGCGGGGTGGGAGGGCCCGCCGATCGGCAAGACAAGGAATAAGAAAACGATCGCTAGAAGACTAGCGTTTGGCCAGGTCCACCTTCTTTTTCCTCCCTTCCCTCCCCCATCCTCTGGCTGCTTTCCTCCTTCCTGGGAGGGGGGGAGAGGAACGAGGTGGATCTAGGTGGTTGTCCTCCTCCGACCCGTCTCTTCCGTGGCCTGACAAGGTTGGGGTTTGGAGGAAGAGGGGTCCTGGATTTTTCACCGTTTTCCAACTCCTTGGGCCCTCCCTGGGCCCCGAGCCTATCAGCAAGCGGCCTGGGAATAAGGGTTGCTCCTGGGGAAGGCCACGGCTACCAGAACCCCTTTCAACCAGAACGCGTCTGCTTTATGTCAGAGAGAGAGAGAGAGAGAGAGAGAGAGAGAAAACGATAACCAAACAAAAACAGAGAGAGAGAGAGAGAGAGACAAAAAACAAGAGAGAGAGAGAGAGAGAGAGAGATAGAGAGACAGATCATGGAAGAGGAAGGAGGGCAGAAGGGGGAGGGAGAGAAGGTGGCGGGGACGGCGTGGAGGACAGGGAGAGGGAGAGGGGGAAGGAGAGGGCACAAGGGGATAGGACGAAGGGGGAGGCGGTGAGTATTGGATGGAGGACTCCTCCCCTGATCCTCCGTTCTCCAAATTCCGAGAGAAGTTCTGCAAGATGCATCTTGCAGAAATTTCTCTGCAATTTCGATCGGGAGAACTCAAAATCGGAGCCCGCAATTTCGATCGCGCAATTTCGATCGCGATGGAAATGTCGATTGCAATTTCGAGCCCCAGATTATTGCATTTTCGAGCCTGCAATTTCGAGCGCGGAGGAGGAGGTGACGATGTGATGCCGATGTGATGCCGACGCCATTACTACTAGACTACTACTACTACTACTACTACTACTACTACTACTACTACTACTACTACTACTATACTACTACTACTACTACTACTACTACTACTACACTACTACTACTACTACTACTACTACTACTACTACTACTACTACTACTACTACTACTACTACTACTACTACTACACTACTGATGCCGATGACGACGTGCTCCGATGCGGCGGCAGGGGCAGGGCCTCCACGGGCGCGGGGCCCGCATGCCGAGGCGCCCAGTGAGGCCGCAGGTGAGGCTCCATCCTCCTCCTCCCTCCTCCTCCCTGCTCCTCCTCCTTCATCCACCTCCTCCTCCTCCTCCTCCTCCTCCTCCCTCCTCCTCCTCCTCCTCCTCCTCCTCCCCCTCCTCCTCCTCCTCCTCCTCCGTCGGGCTGGGCCGTCGGGCTGCTCACCGTCTGCGTTTGCCCTTGCCCTTGGCCTTGCCCTTGGCCTTGCCGTCCTTGGCCTTGCCGTCCTTGCCCTTGTCGTTGGCCTTGCGTTTGCCCTTGCCCTTGTCGTTGGCCTGGCCCTTGTCGTTGGCCTTGTCCTGGGCCTTTTTCTTGCCGTTGCCGCCGCCCTTGCCCTTGCCGCCGCCCTTGCCCTGGGCCTTGTTGTCCTTGTCCTTGTCCTTGCCTTTGCCGCCGCCCTTGCCGTCGCCCTTGCCGCCCTTGCCATCGCCCTCACCGTTGTTCGGGTCGTCGCCCTCGCCGTCGCCCTTGCCGTCGCCCTTGCCGTCGCTGATGGGCGGCCTCCACCTCCATGTCTCCTCGACGCCGCCCTCGCTCCATGAGAGCGCGATGAGACGGCCTGTCCAGCCGTCCCACGACTGACTCGTGCGCCATCGATTGAGTTCCGTGAACGTCTTGGTGGGGGGGGGGCCCGCCATCGGGCCAGAATCGGACCAGGATCTGATCAGAGACGAAATGTCTACGGATTGTTTCACGTTGGCTGCAGTCAGCCCGCGTCGCAAGGATGCGCGGTAAGGATGCGCAGCCCCAGGAGGCCCATGGCGTTTTTTTCAAGCGAGGCTGACAGGTGAAGTCGCAAAGGATGGGCCGACGGGACAACGATGCAAGGGTAGCCCTGGGAAGGTTGCCCATCCTCACGACGCGGGTTGACTGAAGCAACTGTTGTTTTGCATGGGTGAGGGCCTTTTGGGAGATGGCCCCGCGGGGCCATATTGGGCGTCTCGGAGAAAGAGAGGGAGAGGGAGAGGAGATGGGCCCCCCCGGGGGCCCTGGGGGGGGGCAATATGGCGTCTCGGAGAAAATGAGAGGGAAGAGGGAGAAAGAGGGAGAGAGAGAGAGAAGAGAGAGAGATAGATAGAGAAATAGAGAGAGAGATGAGAGAGAGAGAGAGGAGAGAGAGAGAGAGAAAGAGGAGAAGAGAGAAGAGAAGAGAGAGCGAGAGAGGAGAAGACGAGAGAGAGAGAGAAAGAGAAAGAGAGCAGAAAAGGGAGAGAGAGAGAGAGAGAGAGAAGAGACAGAGAGAGAGAGAATTATCCTGGACAGGGAGCTCCCTTTGCAATCTACTCGCATGGACTGTCCGCCGTGAATGTCTAGGCGCAAGAGCTTTCGAATATTAACGGGCTTCAGTTGTGACGGTCTGGACATCAATCTAACTGCGAATGAATTGGAGTGTGAATGAGCCTCAATAGTACGAGCGCGTCTCTGTGCATGAGCCTGGGGCCTCCTGGGGCCTCCTGAAACCTACTGGGGCTTCCTGGGGTCTCCAGGAGCCTCTTGGGACCTCCTGGGACCTCCTAGGAAGGTTTCGTGCCCCAGGGGAGGCGCAATCTATAGCAACAGACGCACATAAAACATTGCGGATTAGAGCCACAGGAAAAAGGGCAATATATAGGAACACGCGTAAACCACCAAGGACTCGTGCCCCAGGAGAGGCCAAATACATAGGAGCATGAGTAAAACATTTAGGGTTGTGCACACAGGAGAAGGACCATCTATAGAAACACACGTAGAACATCAAAGAATCGTGCTCCAGGTGAGGCCCAATCGATAGGAGCATACGTAAAACACATGGGATTGGAGCCACTCCTGTTGCCTTCTGAGGCCTCCTGCTCCTGGGGCCTCTCGGGGCCTCCTGTTGCCTTCCGAGGCCTCCTGGCGCTTCCTGTTGTCTCCTGGGGTCTCCTGTGGTTTCCTGAGGCCTTCTGGAGCTTCCTGGGGCCTCCTGGCGCCTCTTGGGACATCCTGTGGCCTCTTGAGTCTTTCTGTGGCCTCCTGATGCCTCCTGGGGCCTCATGTGGTCTCCTGGAGCCTCCTGGGGCCTGTTGGAGCCTCCTGTGGCATCCTGAGAAGAATCTGCGCCCACGAGCCTGGCCACCAAAACTAACAAACAGATCGAAACATCCTCAAAATCTGGCCCACCTGGGGGGTGAAAGTGAGCGCCTCGCTCGAGACATCCTCCAAATCTGCTCCGAAAGCGACGGACGTTGGGCACAGAAACAGGCAAACCGCCTGAGACATCCCCACAAAATGGCCGCGAACGAGCCCGTGCAACCACCCCTGGCGGCTCCCTTTAGGGGTGCTGAAATGAGCGCCTCGCTCGAGACATCCTCCAAATCTGCTCCGAAAGCGAAGGATGTTGGGCACAGAAACAGGCAAACCGCCTGAGACATCCCCACAAAATGGCCGCGAACGAGCCCGTGCAACCACCCCTGGCGGCTCCCCTTAGGGGTGCTGAAATGAGCGCCTCGCTCGAGACATCCTCCAACTCTGCTCCGAAAGCGAAGGATGTTGGGCACAGAAACAAGCAAACCGCCTGAGACATCCCCACAAAATGGCCGCGAACGAGCCCGTGCAACCACCCCTGGCGGCTCCCCTTAGGAGTGCTGAAATGAACGCCTCGCTCGAGACATCCTCCAAATCTGCTCCGAAAGCGAAGGATGTTGGGCACAGAAACAGGCAAACCGCCTGAGACATCCCAACAAAATGGCCGCGAACGAGCCCGTGCAACCACCCCTGGCGGCTCCCCTTAGGGGTGCTGAAATGAGCGCCTCGCTCGAGACATCCTCCAAATCTACTCCGAAAGCTAAGGATGTTGTGCACAGAAACAGGCAAACCGCCTGAGACATCCCCACAAAATGGCCGCGAACGAGCCCGTGCAACCACCCCTGGCGGCTCCCATTAGGGGTGCTGAGTGTGAGTAAGTCTGTGTATGAGTAAGTCTGTGTATGTGTACGTATGGGTATGACTAATACTGTGTATGAGTAAGTCTGTGTATGAGTAAGTCTGTATATAAGTATGTCTGAGTGTGAGTAAGTCTGAGTATGAGTAGGTCTGAGTATGAGTAAGTCTGAGTATGAGTAAGTATGTGCATGAGCAAGTCTGAGTATGTCCGACAGGAGGAGGCGAGACAAGAAGAGGAGGAAGAAGGAGGAGGAGTAGGAGGCGCCCAAGTAATAACAAGAACCCCATCTTAGGATATGGGGAAAAAGAGAGAGCGAGAAAGAGAGAGAGAGAGAGAGAGAGACTACTCGATTGTGGAACGCGTATATGCTCGCCAGCAGCATGGGCCCGCGCTAGTCGCAGGAGAGGGAGAGGGGGGAGTGCCTGCTTACTTTCCGACACCCTCCAGCGATGCAAATTTTTCGAAAACGGATGATCAGGGTGGGCATGCGCGGGCCGCGCGCGCGCGCCCGCCGATGGGCGGGGCGCGCGCTCGCGGCCGCAAAAAATTACCCTGGCGAAAGACCCAACCATAAGCAATTGTTGGTACGCGTTGTGGGTGCCGCTTTCGGTGGGGCTCCATATGGGGCCACGAAGCGCTGCCTTGGATGGGGGAACCGCATGCGGACTGCGCCACCGGGGCGGGCCTTCGGTGGAGCTCCCTATGGGGCTACGAAACGCTGCCCTGGGTGGGGAACCGCATGCGAACTGCGCCACTGGGGCCTTCGGTGGGGCGCCCTATGGTGCCACGAAACGCTGCCCTGGGTGGGGGAAGCGCATGCGAACTGCGCCACGGGGGCTTTCGGTGGAGCTCCCCATGGGGCCACGAAGCGCTGCCCTGGGTGGGGGAACCGCATGCGAACACCCCCACTGGGGCCTTCGGTGGAGCTCCCTATGGGGCCACGAAACGCTGCCCTGGTGGGGGAACCGCATGCGAACACCCCCACTGGGGCCTTCGGTGGAGCTCCCTATGGGGCTACGAAACGCTGCCCTGGGTGGGGGAACCGCATGCGAACACCCCCACTGGGGCCTTCGGTGGAGCTCCCTATGGGGCCACGAAACGCTGCCCTGGGTGGGGGAACCGCATGCGAACACCCCCACTGGGGCCTTCGGTGGAGCTCCCTATGGGGCTACGAAACGCTGCCCTGGGGGGGGGAACCGCATGCGAACCCCCCACTGGGGCCTTCGGTGGAGCTCCCTATGGGGCCACGAAACGCTGCCCTGGGTGGGGGAACCGCATGCGAACACCCCCACTGGGGCCTTCGGTGGAGCTCCCTATGGGGCTACGAAACGCTGCCCTGGGTGGGGAAACCGCATGCGAACACCCCCACTGGGGCCTTCGGTGGAGCTCCCTATGGGGCTACGAAACGCTGCCCTGGGCGGGGGAACCGCATGCGAACACCCCCGCTGGGGCCTTCGGTGCAGCTCCCTATGGGGCCACGAAACGCTGCCCTGGGTGGGGGAACCGCATGCGAACACCCCCACTGGGGCCTTCGGTGGAGCTCCCTATGGGGCCACGAAACCCTGCCCTGGTGGGGGAACCGCATGCGAACACCCCCACTGGGGCCTTCGGTGGAGCTCCCTATGGGGCTACGAAACGCTGCCCTGGGTGGGGGAACCGCATGCTAACACCCCCACTGGGGCCTTCGGTGGAGCTCCCTATGGGGCCACGAAACGCTGCCCTGGGTGGGGGAACCGCATGCGAACACCCCCACTGGGGCCTTCGGTGGAGCTCCCTATGGGGCCGAAACGCTGCCCTGGGTGGGGGAACCGCATGCGAACACCCCCACTGGGGCCTTCGGTGGAGCTCCCTATGGGGCCACGAAACGCTGCCCTGGGTGGGGGAACGCATGCGAACACCCCCACTGGGGCCTTCGGTGAGCTCCCTATGGGGCCACGAAACGCTGCCCTGGGTGGGGGAACCGCATGCGAACACCCCCACTGGGGCCTTCGGTGGAGCTCCCTATGGGGCCACGAAGCGCTGCCCTGGGTGGGGGAACCGCATTCGAACACCCCCACTGGGGCCTTCGGTGGAGCTCCCTATGGGGCTACGAAACGCTGCCCTGGGTGGGGTAACCGCATGCGAACACCCCCACTGGGGCCTTCGGTGGAGCTCCCTATGGGGCCACGAAACGCTGCCCTGGGTGGGGGAACCGCATGCGACACCCCCACTGGGGCCTTCGGTGGAGCTCCCTATGGGGCACGAAACGCTGCCCTGGGTGGGGGAACCGCATGCGAACGCCCCCACTGGGGCCTTCGGTGGAGCCCCCTATGGGGCCACGAAACGCTGCCCTGGGTGGGGGAACCGCATGCGAACACCCCCACTGGGGCCTTCGGTGGAGCTCCCTATGGGGCCACGAAGCGCTGCCCTGGGTGGGGGAACCGCATGCGAACACCCCCACTGGGCCTTCGGTGGAGCTCCCTATGGGGCCACGAAACGCTGCCCTGGGTGGGGGAACCGCATGTGGACACCCCCACTGGGTCCTTCGGTGGAGCTCCCTATGGGGCCACGAAACGCTGCCCTGGGTGGGGGAACCGCATGTGGACACCCCCACTGGGGCCTTCGGTGGAGTACCTATGGGGCTACGAAACGCGCGAGAGGTGTGCCGAGAGCAGAGGCAAGGAGGGGGAGGAGGGAGGAGGAGGAGGAAGGAGGAACGCGGGCACTGGGGGGGGGGGTTCCCTCTTCAAACGAGGGACCAACCACCCAGGAACGGTTTGGAAAAGCAAGGGCAGGACGAAGTACAGAGACACACGCGCACTCAAACGCATCCACACTCACACATGCACACACGCGCACCCGCACACGAACGCACGCACAACACAACACACCGCACGCGCACACACACGCACACCACACGCACACACCACACACACGCTCAACCTAAGCGCCCTAAAAAAAAAAATAAAAACTAAAAACGAAAAACCAAAAAAAAAAGTACAAAAAAAAAAAAACAACATAAAGAAAAAAACAAAAACCAAAAAAAAAAAAAAAAAAAAAAAAAAAAAAAAAAAAAAAAAAAAAAAAAAATTAAAAATAAAAAAAAAAAAATCAAAGAAAAAAAAAAAAGAAAAAAAAAAAAATACACTAAACGCCCGACCTACGCCTACGCGCCCGAGCCTACAACCTAAGTTTGCCGACCTAAACGCCCGACCTACGCCCCCCCCGCGCTCCGCTACCAGGCGCGCGGCCCACTTGCGACCGAAGGGCCCGCGACCCGCCTCCGACAGAGAGAGAGAGGAGAGAGAGAGAGAGAGAGAGAGAGAGAGAGAGAGAGAGAGAGAGAGAGAGAGAGAGAGAGAGAAAAAAAAAAAAAACATATAAAAGGAGGGAGACGGACATACATACACACAGACAGACAGACAGACAGAGAACGCACCAACATGGGCGGGCCGAAGTCCGCCCGCGGGAGGCGGGGGCAGGCGCCGCGCCCCCGCGCCTCCAATTCAGAAGCGCAGGGGCGCCTCGTGCAAGCAGGGGCGGCTGAGAGAACAACAAACAAATAATAATAATACTAATGAACTTTCGCGTCGCGTGCTACTAGACGCGTCAAACGGAAAGACAGGCCCCCGATGAATGAGAGAGAGAGAGAGGGAGAGAGAGAGAGAGAGATAGGAGAGCGAGAGAGAGAGAGAGAGAAAGGAGAGAGAGAAGGAGAGAGAGAGAGCGAGAGGAGAGAGGAGGGTAGAGTAAGAGAGAAAGGAAGGAGAGAGAGAGAGAGAGAGAGCATGGCGACATGGATGGGGGAGGAAGGGGGGAGGAGGGCGGAAGGGCGGGCGAGAGGGAACATGGGTAGGGGAAGAGATAGGGGGAGAGAGGGCAGAGGGAGGGGATGTTCAGCAGAAGATCGCTTGTCGATCGCAGCGCTGACGCATTGGGGGCCCGCCTCGATCGCCTTCGCGCAGCATCATCGATCAGCTAGCGCCGGCGGTGGTGAGAAGGAGGGAACGACGAGTGGGAACGATCAGAGGAGGGGGGCGTGGGTCTCCCACCGTCGCGCCGCGGAGCGCGAGGGGCCAGATGCCTCATGGGGGAGGGGGGGGGGGGGGGGGGGCGGGGCGGGGGGGGGGGGGGGCATGACATGCAATGCATTCAAATGCATGCATGCATGCATACATACATAAATACATACATACATACTAACATACAAACATACACACATACACACACATACATACATGCATACATGCATGCATCCATACATGCATACATGCACGCATGCATACCTACCTACGTACCTACATACATACATGCATTCATGCATGCATACATACATGCGTACATACATACATACCTGCACACAAACATACAAACGTACACACAGACACACATACATACATACATACATACAGTATATACATACATACATACATATATACATACATACATACATGCATACATGCATGCATGCATGCATGCACGCATACCTACCTACCTACCTACCTTCGTACATACATACATGCATACATGGAGGGGGGGGAGAGAGAAACTGGCGGAGGCCCCCTCACTGAGGGGTCATCAGCTCGTCGATGTCGGCCCCGACGGAGCCGACGTTGGCGTCGACTTGGGGAGGGGGGGGAGGAGGAGGAGGAGGATAGGGGAGGAGGGAGGGGGAGGAGGGGGAGAAGGAGGAGGAGAAGAGGCAATCGGCGCTGTGCGGTCCCATTTGGGGGTTCCTTCTTTTGTTTTGTTTTTCACAACAACTTCGGCGATGAGCAAGCACACGGCGGCACGTCGCACAGCATGGCGCCACGTGGTCAACCTCAAGGGACGAGGCTTCGCCCGAAGGCGGGAACACAGCAACTCAGATCGATGTTGTTGCCATGGTGAAACACAGTGAAACATGAACCTCGTGCCTCCTCCTCCATCCTCCTCCTCCCCCATCCCCCTCCCCCCCCCATTTTTCCCGTCAGATCGGCAGTGTCAACTCGGCACACGCGTACACTAGCCATTAACATGCTAGCGTCGTGGAGGCCCCCCACTCGTTTACATCGCGCCCTCGTCGCCCCCGTCGCATCGTCATCGCGATTGTCTATCAGCGTCACCAACATCACCCTCATCATATGAACGTGCACGCGAGGTCGCCGAGCAAACGCAAGCGCAAGCGGCAATCCACGCAAGGGACATCAATTCGTGGGTTCAGGAGTGGGAGGCAGGGGCAGAATATCAAAGGGGATTAGGCTTGGGATGATGCGGGGGACAGGGCAAACGGGGAGGACGGGGAGGGAGAGTAGCTACAGATCTGCAAATCTACAAATCCACAAATCTCATCAAGGGTCAGCTGTTGCTGCGGTCAGTGGCTACAAACCTCAATCTACAATCCACAAATCTCAATTCTGCAAATCTACAAATCACAAATCCACAAAACCACAAATATCATTCTCCTTCCCTCAGCGTCGCCGTCGTCGGCGTGCTCGGTGTCGACCACCTCGTCGTTGCTGAGGCCGTAGGGCACGATGGGGCTGTCGGGCACGATGTGGTCGATGTTGGCCACCGCGCCGTTGTCGACCACCTCGTCGCTGTTGTGGCCGCAGGGCGCGACGACCGTCTCGGCGTTGACCACGTCGGCGTCGACCATGGTGTCGTCGTCGTCGTCCACCTCGTCGCTGTCGAGGCCGTACAGGTCGCCCCCCTCATCCTGCCCATCAGCGTCCTTGCCATTGCCGCCGTCGGCCTTGTCCTTGCCGCCGTCGCCGTCGTCCACCTCGTCGCTGTCGAGGTCGACGTCCTTGTCCTTGCCGCCGTCGGTCTTGTCCTTGCCGCCGTCGTCGTCGTCCACCTCGTCGCTGTCGAGGTCGGCGTCCTTGTCCTTGCCGCCGTCGCTGCCGTGATCGCTGTCCATATCAGCCGAACTCCCGGGCGGCGTGCCATTTGGGAATGTGGCTCTGTATCTCACCATCCATTCATGACTCGAAACCCACTGCACGTCATCAACTGTAACCCACGCGTACCTCCAATCGTTATGAAACTCACTGAAGAATGGCTCGTAATACAATTCATGGTCTAGATCGGTGCCCATATGCGCAGGTCAGGGCACGGTGTTCTTCTGTATAAGTGGTTGCTGAGCCTGATGGCTTCAATAGTGCGCTCAATGCTGCGCTGACACGTACGACTACGCTTTGACAATGATTCCCGAGCCCAGGAGGGCAGAGGGATAACAGCCAATCAAGAAATCGCCACAAAGAACGCGATGTGTGAATCAATGTCAAACAACTGTGAATATGCACGGATGGTCGAGAGCCCAAGGGTGCACGAACCAGCGTAGCTGGAAGCACAGATACATGCATCAAAGAGCAAGAGGAATCATCGAGCCAGCAGGTATTGAGTGTCGGCACCCCGCCCAACCACCACACGCACGATATGCTGCGCTGGCACTTCGACAAGAGCTGCGCTGGCAAAGTCAATCCTGCTGCACTGGCACGCTGTACTACCTTGACACTCAGAAGCTCGCTGCACTGGCACAGTTGAGTATGCTGCACTGGCACGGTGAGCTGGGCTGGCACTTGGACAACAGAGGCGCTGGCACAGTCCAGCACGCTGCGCTGGCACGGCGGCCTACGCTGGAGGTGAGACGCTCGTTGCATGGGCAAAATTCAATATGCTGCGCTGGCACGGCGTGCTGCGCTGGCGATCGGGCGTTAGCTGCGCTGGCACAGTTTCACTGGATATGGGCACCATTTTCCCCCCCTCGCAGAGCGCAAACCATGCCATCCCAAGTCAGTCGGATGGCAAGAACCCCCGAGTGACCTCAATGTAGCGGCCAACCCTAACACGTTCGGCCAATTTTAAATTGACCTTGAAAATCGGCGTGCCGACTGCACAACCCGCTGCAGAAGATGTGACGTGGCGCATGTAATCTTCTGGCTGGTACGTTGATACGCATTTCAACGAATAGAACTGGCCCTGGCAACTCAGATGGTGGAAAAAGTGAAACTTGTTCACAATTGACCACAACAATTTACCAGACTCGGCAGCCTTTCGGGCTAAGCCACCGTACAACACCAGCAACTTCTCGGATGATTGGGCCATCGTTGACGCCTGGGCGCCCGTGGGAAACCGACCGCACCGATCGACGGTATCCTGAAACGTCACGAGCTGTTTCAGACACAAATTCCTCATCTTACTGGCGTCGCTGGCACGATACATTTCCTCACACACCTTATACATGATCGGAATCCACCTTCCCCCTCGTGGCTCTCAGAGCGCGTGGGGCGAACCGCCGTATACCCACCCCGTCGCCGTCAGTCCTCAATGGTCCCCCTTGCCTCCTCCTCCATACCATCTCCCCCCCCGTTCAACAGCCCACGCTCCATCCCCCTCAGTTCCCTCCGCCTGTGTGCCCCCTATACTGCGGCCGTCGGAATGGCGGCAGCACGTGCACGAGAGCCCGAGTTTCCGCGGCCTTCAGGTGGTGCAGCTTGGGGTAGTCCTTGTGGGGCTTCTCTGGGTCGCAGAAAAACTTCAAACCGAAATTTGTGAGGCGGTTCTGCGATCCCATCTCTGAGTAGTGCCTCTGTATTTTTTCCATACCATTTCGCACCTGTATATTGTGTGTTTATGTGATGTGAGCATACCATATACACACGAATATGGGTAAATGTGTACATGTTGGGCACATGCGTTCTCACATGTGTATGTATATAGAAATGTATATGAATATGTTGCATGCGTTCGAGGTAGCACCGTGTCTTCGGCCTATCGGGCCATCCATAAACCAAAGTGAACAACGAGTTCGCGATGATGTGCGATGCGACGCCGTGGTGATCGATGATGTGCATAGGGTCCAGCGCCAGCGTGAGTACCGTCACGCCGTATATCCCGAAAATCGGGTGCTCCGAAGGGGGATGTAGTTGAAGGTGGTGCTTAGAATATGGCCGCCGCATCCAATGGTTCGGTTTTCTGTCCTCCAGGGGCGCACGAGCGCGCCGTCGGGGAGGAGGGAGAGGGGCCGAAGAGGCGAGGGGGCGACGAGGGAGGAGGAGGAGGGGGAGGGGGAGGAGGAGGAGGAGAAGGAGGAGCAGCAGGAGGAGAACTAGCTGATCGGGGAGGAGGCGGGGAGGAAAACTATGGAAGGGGGTTGGGCCCAGTGGACCTTCACGAAATCGCACCAGCAGTTACGATCTGAACGATTGGAATCGCACAGCCAACAGAACTTCTCCGCCGCGTGCGACGGGAGCCATAAGTCCTCATGAGCGAAGCTGCCATGCATACGAAGTTGAGTGGTTTACTGCGAACCTTTACACGCGCTTTCGCGCTAATATATGTGTATATATATATGTATATAAACGTGTATGTATATATATGTATATATGTATGTATATATGTATGTGTATGTATATGTATGTATATGTATGTACATGTATATATGTATATGTACATATACATGCGTTGATGCGTTGTGTGCGCATGTGTGCATGTCTGGGCCATATGCTGCGTGCGCATAACTACCCGCGCCCAGGCAACATGCGCCCGCACGTCGCGACTAATCGTTGCATGGCAGCTTCGACAGAGCAACGACGAATCACAGAAACAGATCCTTCACGAAATCCGTCGCCCAAGCGCGCCTGGGCCCTTGCGCGCAGAGCCCATGGTCAACAATCGCCAGCTTTATTGAACGCCTCCCACCCCCCCGTGGACGACCCGCCTGTGCGTTTGCAGGCGGACGGTAGCGCAAGCAGAACCAGATAATCCAAATCTCCTAACACTGCGTAGATGAAGCCGCGCACGGGGAACCTGTCGTTCCCAATCTTTTTGTTTGCTAACTTGCCCCGAGGCGATGTCGAATTAAACTTTTTGCCTTGCCAATCTGACCATCCTCTTTGAGGACGCGAGCGTGGAAACGACCCGCTTGAATATGACTGTGCCTGTGTAAACGCATGGCGATGCACGCACGCGAACACTATTGCACGCGCGTCTATCGGTGGAGATGGATAGGGGGGGTATGCAAGAGGAAGAGCGATGTATACGCGCTCATGTAAGCGCATGTTCGGCGGGGCCTGCGGACTGCCAAATGGCGCGGAATCGTGAGTTGGGTGGCGCCCAGACGCGAGGGCGTTAAACGACCACGCAAGTTGCTTCCATATCACCTCCCATGTGTCTACATCATTGTGCTTGCGTTTGGCCGTGATAGCTAGAGGCCACGACGCCAAGTAGAACGTTAATGAACGTGTAGTGGACATGCCCAACGCCCCCGTCATCGACACCGTTGTAAGGCTGTCTTTATCTTGAAATTGCGCACCGTCCCCATGAACTCTCAGAGGCACTGCGTTCTCCCGAAAGCCTGCAGTTGTGAAGATCGGGTGGTCGACCATCTTGGGGTCGGGCCTCGATGGCCGAGGAGTGTTCGTTATATATTGAAGTCTTAACTAGAATACCACATGGGGCCTCCATTAGATCTTACAAGGGCCCCAATTTTAAATATCATACGACGTAGTGGGTAGCTATAATTGTGAAGGCCCCTGCAGCCTCGAGGAGACGTGGTCCCAGAAGTCGTGGAGCTCTTGGATCCCAAACAGCTCGTGGAATTCTTCTTCGTACTCGTTGCAAAACGTCGCAACCCAGTCGTGCGGGTTGAATATAGCGCAGTCAGCATATACCACTTTGTACTCGAGAGGGTCCCACGCAGGCACCTTGATGATATCGGGGTGGGGCATGTTGTTGTGTCGCGTGAAGCGGCGAGTCAAATCCCTGTGTATGTTTCCTGAGGATGGTGTGTTTCCCCAGCCTCCAAGCTTAGCAATCTCCGAGAGCTCTGGGTGAGTGGCCCCGTCCCGTACCGCAGCCTTAGACAACCTCTGGACGTCTACAGCAGGTAGGTCACCCCAGGCCCACCGCCATAGTAACTCAGAAGCCAGCTCCGACATATCGGGGTCCATCTCGACATCGCGGGGGGGGGGGGGTCGTCATCTGGGTCCGAGAGCACCCCTCGTCTCCTCTTGGGAGCTCGAGTCATCTCCAGCCTGAACAGCTATGGGCCCACACCTGCCAGTGAGATGGCGATGTCAGTCAGGAGGCGGAGGAGGAGGGGGGGCGGTGGGTTGTCGGGGCCTCTGGGCCCTCCTCCTCCCCAGCAGAGCAATGCGCACCATTGCGTACCATAGCATGGCGTATCATGCCATAGCACGGCGTAGCATAGCAAGACGACCCGTTTCGGCACGCCTCTCACGTGAAACGGGGGAGGGCGCCCCACCAAGGGATGGACCTGGTCGGCGCCTGGCACCATGGTTGTTCTCAACACCCGTGGCAAAATATACTTGTATAAACTTATGAGGAGGGCACATGGGACAGGAGTGTGTAAAGCAGCATCGCTGATGCATCCTGGGTTTTCTCTGCCCCCTCCTCCTTTTCCTCCTCCTCCTCCTCTCCCTCGTCGCCTCCCTCCTGGAAAGTGTTTCGCTTGGCAATCTGATAAGTGTCTGATAAGTGCCTGACGTCAGACACTTATCAGATGGGGAATGGGAGTGGGGAGTGTGATAGGAGGAGGAGGAGGAGCCCCCTCCCCTCTCCTCCTCCTCATGCTAATCTTCACCCTCCCACTTCTCATCTTTGCGCTGCTCCTTCTCCTCCTCCTCCTCCTCCCCCTCCCCCTCCTCCTCCCCCTTCTCCTCATCCCCCCCCTCCTCCCATCCTCCGAGCGGGGGGGGGTGCGGGGCAGCGCCACATGGGCGCGGCATCCTGGACAACGCAGGGCCCACCCACCCCCCCGCCCCCAGTACCATCGGGGGGCTCTCCCCCTGGCTCCTCCTCCTCCTCCTCATCCTCCTCGTCCTCGCACTCGCCCCCTGCCCCCCGTCTCCCCGTCGTTTGCTGTCGCTCGAAACCGAGCGGTCAAGAGAAATGCCCAGCCTTTCTAGGCCGAGCTTGCCTTAGGCCCTCAGGAGCTTGATGCTCGAGCACTGCGCGAAGATGGACCGAGCGTCGAGCGTCACCTGTTTGATGACGCGACAACGACGACGACGACGATGACGATGACGTCGTCGTCGTCGTCGTCGTCGCCGTCGGCGTCGTCGTCGTCGTCGTCGTCGTCGGCGTCGTCGTCGTCGTCGTCGTCGTCGTCGGCCTCGTCGTCAACGTCGTAGTCATCGAGCCTGCCAGGCGGTCGTCGTTATCGCCGTCGTCGTCGTCGTCGTCGTCCTCGTCGTCGTCGGCGTCGTCGTCGTCGCCATCGTCGTCGTCGTCGTCCTCATCGTCAGCGTCGTCGTAGAGGAGAGGGGAGGACGACGGGGATGGCGATATGTTTGGCGGGTTAGCACCTTCTGGGCCAAGCCTATCTAGGCAGTCAGCAGCTCGATGCTCGAGTGCTGCGCGAAGATGGGCCGAGCGTCGAGCATCACCTGTTTGATGACGCGACGACGGCGACGATGACGACGACGACAACGACGCCGACGACGACGAGGACGACGACGACGACGACGGCGACGACGGCGACGACGACGACCGCCTGGCAGGCCCGATCACGACGACGATGACGACAAGGCCGACGACGACGACGACGATGACGACGACGACGACGCCGACGACGGCGCGGACGACGACGACGACGACGACGGCGACGACCGCCTGGCAGGCTCGATCGCGACGACGCTGACGACGAGGCCGACGACGACGACGACGACGACGATGACGACGACGACGGCGACGCCGCCGACGACGTCGACGTCGTCGTCGTCGGCGTCGGCGTCGTCGTCGTAGTCGTCGTCGGCGTCGTCGTCGTCATCGTCGTCGTCGTCGTCGGCCTCGTCGTCAGCGTCGCCGTGATCGAGCCTGCCAGGCGGTCGTCGTCGTCGTCGCCGTCGTCGTCGTCGTCGGCGTCGTCGTCGTCGTCATCGTCGTCGTCGTCGTCGTCCTCGTCGTCAGCGTCGTCGTAGTGGAGAGGGGAGGAGGACGGGGATGGCGGTATGTTTGGCGGGTTGGCACCTTCTGGGCCTTGGCAGCGGTGTAGCCCTGCATGTCCAGATCCTCCAAGTTGTTGTCGACCTCGCGCAGCTGCTTCAGGAACTTCGCAGCCTGTCCACGGCCAAGATATGCACAGATCTACCGTCTCAGGGTCGTTCCCAGGGGCCTCGGGGAGCGGTGGATATGGACATCTTCAACCCCTGAGGGTGGGGTGGTATCCATATCTACCAATCCCCAGGGCTCCAGGGCGCGACTCCGAAGGAGTGGATGTGAACATTTTATGGCGATGAAACCTTGTTGACGTCCGACGAGGAAGCCTTGTCGGACGCGCCCTTGATCTTCTTGCCAGTGTCTCTGATGAGCACGGCGCTCGCCTCCTTGAACTTCTTCAGGGCCTGGGCGATCTGGCTGTCGCTCTTCAGGTGGGCCTTCGTGATGTCCTGCACGTAGTCGAGGTGGTCATTCACGTCCACGGTGTCCGCGCGCACGCGCCCACGACCGCGGCCGCGCCCTTTGCCCTTGCATCCGACGCTCGAGGTCTCCTGGCGGCGCTGCTCGTCCTCGTCGTCGGTCTGCGTGCCGAGGTCAGTGAGCGAGCCTTTGAGGAGCTGGTCCCTCGGCCTGGCCTTGCCCATTGCGTCCTTCAGCGCCAACCACTCCTCGTCGTTGTCGATGCCCTTCTTGCCCACCATCTTGGCCTCCTTCGAGTGGTCGAACTTCTTCGACTCCTCCTCGGTGGTGTCCCAGTACTGCTTGGCCCTCGGGTTGGTGGGGTTGGGCCTCTCCTGGGGGCGGCTGGGGAGGGGTGCGATGCCGAAGGCGGGCGGGGTGGCCAAAGGGGGGTTGGAACGACGGACGGGGGGGGGTCGGGAGGGCGAGGAGGAGATGGGGGACGGGGGGAGCAGGATATCGGATCCTCGAGCGTAGGTAGGATATACGGAGGTAGAGGGGAGGAGGAGGGGGAGGAGGAGGGATGAGGAGGGGGGGGGAGGAGGAGGAGGATAAGGACGAGGAGGAGGAGGAGAAGGAGGAGGAGGAGGGGGCCAGAGAAAACCCAGGATGCATCAGCGACGCTGCTTCGCACACGCATGTCCCATGTTCCCTCCTCACAAGTTTATACAGGCATAGTTTGCCACGAGTTCAGACGGCGGCGCAAGCCCCTCGGCCCCCGCTCCCGCCTCAGCGCCAGCCTCGCGGTGCCAGCCTCATTGCCCGTGGTAGGAGGAGGAGGATGACGAGGAGGAGGAGGAGGAAGTGAACGAGGAGGAGGAGGGGGATGGGGGATGGGGGGGGATGGGGAGGAGGAGGGCGGTGAGGGGGAGGAGGAGTGGGAGGGGGAGGAGGAGGATGAGGATGGGGAGGAGGCGGAGGGGAGGAAGGATGAGGATGGGGATGATGGGGGCGACGACGACATGGCGAGGATGATTCGTCGGTCCTGGACGAGACCGTCGTCGCGCATCTGCTGGAACTCTTCCTCGCCGTACTTCTGGACCATCTGGTGCGCTGTCCTCGGGGGGCGGCCCCCTAGACGGCCCCAAAGATGACCCCCCCCCTGACGGGCCCAAGGTGATCTAGACGGATGGAGGGCGGTTGATTGTCAATCAAAAGAGGTTGTCTCGTCGGGCGGCCCTCCACCCCGACGAGACAGCCGTCGTCTTGGAGAAGCGCACGGACTCGTTCATCTTCATGTAGCGATCGCCGAAACCAGGGTCGTTCAACCAGGCCATGAGGAGCGACTTCTGCGCGTGCTGCTTCCCCGACCGCACTGGGAGTTTCGCCACCTGTTGGTATTCGTGCGGTGATTCAGTATCCCTTCTCTCCCTTCCCATCTCTCTCCCCCTGTTCCTCCTCCTCCTCATCCTCATCCTCATCCTCCCCCTCCTCCCTCTCCTCCTCCTCCTCCTCCTCATCCTACTCTTCATCCTTATCATCCTCCTCATCCTTCTCTTCCTCATCATCATATTCCTCCTCCTCCTTCTCCTTCTCCCCCTTCCCCCTCATCCTCCGCCAACCGTCCAACTCCCCAATCCCGATCCTCTTCCTCCGACCATGGGCTCACTCCAGGGGTGCGTGCCAAGAGGGTTCGGCGCCCTGAAATCCACCGTCCTCCTCCTCACCATCCCCCTCATCGTTTTGTTCACCATCATTGTTGTAATATGTTTGTTCACCATCAACGTTGTCATCATCATCATCCTCATCATAACCGTCATGCCATATTATGCATCCTTGTTGCCCCTCCCCCGTTAATCACCATCCTCTGCGCCATCCGTTTGTGTTGCCCATCATCATCCTCATCTTCGTCCTCCTCATAGTCCTCCTCATACTCATACACATCATCCGTGTTGCCATCACCCCTCTAATTATTCAACCATGCAGCCACCTCCTGGTACTGCGCCTCCACTTCAGGATTCTTGTGCCTGGTCGTCTTGAAACGGTCCCAGAGGCGCTTCATCTCCGCGTCAGCGAAGACGGCCTTGAGCTGAGCCGTGTCCTCTGGGTCGCAGTTTTCAGCGTTGAACTTGATATTGTCGTCGGTCGTCATGCTCGAGGTCCTGAAGGCCAGCTCCTCGCAGCTGACCGACTTGCTGAAGGGAACGATGGCGAGGCAGCCTACTCCAATCCTGCTCCTCCTGCTTCTCCTTCTCCTCGTCCTCCTCGTCCTCCTCCACCGCCTCCTCTCCCTCCTCCTCGTCCTCCCCCTCCTCATCCTCCTCGTCCATCTCGTCCCCCACCTCCCCCCTCCTCCTCCTCATCCTCCTCCTCCTCCTCCTCATGCCCCTCCTCCTCTTCCTTAGCCTCCTCCTCATTCTCCCCATCATCCCGCCAGGGTGGAGAGGATGAGGGGGGCAGGCAAAGAGCCTGTCCCAGCAGCAGCTGGCCGTCTCCTCAGGGCGCGGACCTTGGCCTTCGCGGCAGCAGGGCGCTTCATGCCCACCATGGCGCCCACGGCGTCTGGCATGCCTCGCCCCAAGAGACTTGGTGGGCCCCCCCCGATATACCTGAAATAAGTGTCCAAGCCACAGACAGCTATCGTGCCCGCATCGCCATTATTCATCTCGACGTCGCTCGGACGTCCGTCCCCTGTGCATGTTTCAGGCTGGTGGTTCTTGTTGGGGGCAACCGCTGGAGCCACGAGTTGCTCGAGAGAGCCCCAGAATGCGTTTGGTCCCTTCTCGCTGTATCATTGACGGCATCCCTTGTCTTAACCCATTACCGTATCATTCCACATCGAAATTACTTCTGAACAAATCCTGTACAGTCCTCCATATACAGCCAATCATTGATGCATCAATAACCATCAATCTTCATCAACATCTGTTATTCAATATAGCAAACAACATATCAGATATGTCATGTGTTATCATGTAATATGTCATAATATATATATATATATCATGATAAATATACCGAAATACTTATAATATTTGTCATATTAGGTGGTATACCACACTTGTTTAACTTATCAGCATATATAATATAATATGATACGTGTCTGGCGTCAGACACTTATCATACACTTATCAGATGGGATCTGATAGTTGTCTGATACGTGTCTGACATCAGACACTTATCAGGCTACACGTCTGATAAGTGTCTGACGACAGACACATATCAGACACTTATCAGATTGGTACCTGTTATCTGTATATCACAGTCAACCTACCGCACGTATTTCAAATATGATATGTAACATATAATATGAAATTTAAGTGGTTGTATGGCTTAATTGTGTACTTTATTGTCTGATACTGTGTCAGATTATATGATACCATATTCAACATGATACATGTAGGATACACATGTCGTACATAAAAAACAAGATATTAGATATTATAGTAAACTGTATGAAGTATGTATCAACATATCATATAATTTGCAAAATTGAAATATGATATGAAAATACTATGTTGTGTTATGTGGTTATATTGTTGCACTACGTTGGTTGTACAATAGTTACTGTTAATGTTTCATATGTGTAGGTATGATATGTTTTATGATATTGTGTATTACATCATGGTGCGTATTTATGTTGCATGTGTATTCATGTTTGTGTACGTTATCGTCCCTACACCCCTCCTCCATCATGCATAGTGAATTCCTGGACCCGCCATCATCCTCCATTCCGTATCATCACTCCTCCATCACATCTCTGACATGGCTCAATCTCCCCCCAAGACATTCCAAGACACCCCAAGACACCCCATACACCCAAGAAACCCCAAGACACTCCAAGACACCCAGGCACCCAAGACACCCAGGAAACTACAAATCACTCCCAGCTCTTCCCCTCCCCAAGACACCTCATGACACCCAAGACACTCCACGGCGCCCCAGGACACCCCCTCCCCAAGACACCCCCTCCCCAAGACACCCCAAGACATCCACCCAAGACGCGCAAGACACCCCAATCCACCCCAGGAGGATGAGTGAAGGAGTAGGGAGGAAACGAGGGAGAGGAGGGGGGTGGAGTAGTATAACTGCTTCCGAATCTGAGGTGCCACACGGCTGAATTCTGAGTCTGAGGGCTCGGCTTGCCAGCAGCTGGCATAGACGACAGAGATAGTAAGGAATGGGCGGGGGGCAGGCCGCGGCTGAAGAAGTCAACCGAGCCTGAAGGTCTACCAAGCCCTCAGCGTCGCGAAGTAATTGTTCTGTACAATACCTCCAACCGTCGTAGGCCATATCATCACGGCGTCTGGCCGACCTTCTGGAAGCCCTCGTCGATGTCATCAATCTCCGACTGCCGCGACAGCTCCAGGTCTGGGTCCAAGATTGCCCTGAGCCAGCGGCCCTTGATCTGAACGTCGTCCTGGAGCTGCGCGCCTGTCGGCCTCCCTAGGTGGTTCGCTGGGAAGAGGCGCATGTCGATCACAGACTGCGTTTTCTTGTGGATGCAGAGCGTAGTGCATGTGAACTTCTTCACCATGCCAGCGTCCAACGGCGCCGTCTGTCCATCCTGGTTCTTCAGCTTAGGTAGCTTGAGGGGCAACAACTTCTTGAAATCCTGGATCCACACAGCGATCATGACATTGGGGTCTTCCTCCTCGCCTGGCACCCAGACGACATCATTGCCCGCCGCCTCTTCTGGATCATCAGCAACCACGGGGCCCTCTGTCGACAAGAACACGTACTGGGTGAACACGACGGACTCCGACAACATGAAGGCACCCTTCTCAGGCGGTTTGTCTTTATGTCCGATCGCTTTGAAAACGAAAATCTGCTGGTCTGGAAAGGCGTTGGTGTTTTTGATGGCGGCGGCTGTGATCTCGCTGATCTCGAACCCCTCTGGATGCGCTTCATTCGTGCCCTGTGGTACAACCAACTTCATCCATACGTCCTTCGGCTCAAAATAGCACCACACCGCGCCGTGCATCTTGAGCGGCTTGGTGGCCTCCACCAACAGAGCCATGGGGCCGCGGGGTTGGCGGTTGGCGGCTGATGACAGTTGGCGGGCTGATGACAGCTGGTGGGCTGATGGCAGCTGGTGGAGGGCTGATGACAGCTGGAGGTCTTTGAGCATAAACGGTAGCGGAGCGAACGAGAGATGCAGCGTGCCCCAAACCACCCCCCAGGACATCCCAGGGCACCATATACAATCCAAGACGCCCATGGCCCCAAGACGCCCCCCAAGAGGCCTCAAGACGCCTCAAGACACCCACCCCAGGCACTCCAAGACACCCCAAGACACCCCCTCCCCAAGGCACCCCAAGACACCCAAGACATTCCAAGACACCCAAGCACCCAAGACACCCCAATACACCCCAAGACACTCCAAGACACTCCATGCTCCCCCCCCTCCCCAAGACACCTCAAGATACCCAACACACTCCAAGACACCCCCAAGGCACCCCAAGACAATCCCTCCCCAAGGCACCCCAAGACATCCACCCAAGACATGCAAGACACCCCAAGACACCCCAGGAGGAGGAGGGAGTCGGGGGGAAGCGAGGGAGAGGAGGGAGAGACTTGTCTCTCTCCTGAGCCGCAATCCGCCAACTGGCGCGTCTGCTCTGTTGCGGTGGCTATTGGCGCGCTCTCAGATCCACCAGTGCGCCGCTATGCCGTTGTAGTCAAAGCCGACGTGCACGCTGCCGCCTCCAAGGGGGATGATGATGCTAACGTCACGTGGCCGCTGCATCCAGGTCGCGCTGGACGGCGCTGGCGACGGCGTCTTGCAGCGCTCGTCCATCGCAGGCGTGGGAGGGAGCACGGTCACGGTGTCCTGGATGATCTGCTCGAATGCGGACTGCGGCTGCCTGGGCATTGCAGGCGTGCAGCTAGTCGAACCGAGAGCCCTTCTGTTGGCCTAAGCGAAACTGGCCACGGAACAACATTAAAACCCCATGACGCCCATTGCCCCAAGACACCCCCAGGAGCCCATAGCCCCAAGGCACCCAGGGCACCCGAGACAATCCAGGACGCCCATGGCCCCAAGACACCCCGCCCCCCAGAGACGCCTACGGCCCCCATGAACCCAAGACGCCTGAGGCCACAATACACCCGAAACATTCATCATGTATGTGTTGGTGTCGTTGTCAATCCGCTGGTGCCCCCAGGGCTAGGCCGTCCCCCCCCTGTGCTTCGGGGGAAGACGGCTTGGCCCACCCCAGGAGCACCGCCCCTTGGGCTGCCGTCTCCTCCCGCGAGGCGGGCGAAGACGACCGCGCCCACCCAAAGGGCACGACGGGCGCGTGAGGAAAGTGTGGACACCCCCAGACACCCCAAGACACCCCCTCCCCAAGACACCCACCCAAGACACTCCAAGACACCCCAGGACACCCCGAGACCCCCCCCCCCCCCCCCCCCCCTCCCCCCAAAGACACCCCAAACACACACACACAAACACTCCAGGACACCCAAGACCCCAGGACAACCCCACGCCCACGCCACCCACCCAAGACACAAAGACGCCCATGGCCCCAAGACCCCCCCCCCCAAAAAAAAAAAAAAAGACACTGATGGCCCCCATGAACCAAGACGCCTAAGCCCCAAAAACCCCTAACATTCATCATGTATGTGTTGGTGTTGTTGTCAATCCGCTGGTGCCCCCAAGGCTAGGCCGTCCCCCCCCTGTGCTTCGGGGGAAGACGGCTTGGCCCACCCCAGGAGCACCGCCCCTTGGGCTGCCGTCTCCTCCCGCGAGCGGGCGAAGACGACCGCGCCCACCCAAGGGGCGCGACGGGCGCGTGAGGAAAGTGTGGATGCCCCCAGACACCCCAAGACACCCCCTCCCCAAGACACCCACCCAAGACACTCCAATACACCCCAAGACACCCCAGGACACCCCGAGACACCCCCTTCCCCAAGACACCCCAAGACACACACCCAAGACACTCAGGGACACCCAAGACACCCCACCCCCACGCCACCCACCCAAGACACCCAAGGACGCCCACGGCCCCAAGACCCCCCCCCCCCAAGAAGCCGATGGCCCCCATGAACCCAAGACGCCTAAGGCCCCAAGAAACCCGAAACATGCATCATGTATGCGTTGGTGTCGTTGTCAATCTGCTGGTGCCCCCAGGGCTAGGCCGTCCCCCCCCTGTGCTTCGGGGGAAGACGGCTTGGCCCACCCCAGGAGCACCGCCCCTTGGGCTGCCGTCTCCTCCCGCGAAGCGGGCGAAGACGACCGCGCCCACCCAAGGGGCACGACGGGCGCGTGAGGAAAGTGTGGATGCCCCCAGACACCCCAAGACACCCCTCCTCAAGACACCCACCCAAGACACTCCAAGACACCCCAAGACACCCCAGGACACCCCGAGACACCCCCTCCCCAAGACACCCCAAGACACACACCCAAGACACTCCAGGACACCCAAGACACCCCAAGACACCCACCCAGGACACCCCAAGACACCCACCCAAGACACCCAAAGACGCCCACGGCCCCCAGACCCCCCCCCAAGACGCCTATGGCCCCCATGAACCCAAGACGCC